AAAAAAAAAAAAAAAAAAAAAAAAAAAAAAAAAAAAAAAGAACTCAGATAGCAATATAGCACTTACTAGTTATTAGGGAGTTGTAAATCATTTGCTTGACGGTCTCAAATGTTCATAAAATGACGACTCACAAAATTCTAGTAACAATGGCTAGCAATTTCCAGGATTTTTCGAAAAAGAAAACCGTGAATGGAAGATCAAGAAGAAGTGTTTTCCTTTTGCACTCTCCTTTTTTGTTTTTTTCTTTTTTCATTGGCTTCTGGTGTAGTATATGGAGGTTAGAGATTTTGAGGGAATTTATAAATGATTTATAGATCCAAGCACTTGTACATATTTTAATTTGTTTAAAGATGAGAATAATGTGGGCCCTAGTTTTGGCTAAGTGTGAATATGTAGGCCATGGCTGGCTAAGTGTGAATATGTAGGCCATGGCTTTCACTGCTCTTTCGTACAGGTCCATGTGGACACTGTGAACTGCTGAAAATGGCATGTGGAGTGTATTGGTGCACTGGCAGAACCCTTTTGAGTCTTAACCACTTTTCCAACTGGTAAGTCCCAACCCAATCCTCTAAAAAGCAACATGAAGATTTTTCCACAAACAGTATTATTATTATTATTATTATTATTATTATTATTATTATTATTATGCTGTTTTCCTATTGAAGAAGATGCACATTTTGAATTAGGCATGTTAATATATGTGTATATGGTGGGGGCTTTTGGTGTTTATATTCCCATTTCTTGATCTATGGCCTAGGGGAAAAAATAAAAATAACAAGATCGGTTTTCTTTACCATTCGTAATTCGTTACAATAGATTGAAATTATAGAGAAGGAAATGATTTTTTTTTTTCAAGATGATTTTGTTTTTATGATTAGACTTAATTAATCTCAAGGGGTTGTACATACCATGCTGTGGGCTATACATATACATAAATTCAATTCTTGGGAAGGTTAATTTGGTTGGTTTTGAGGAACAGTTCTAGCTGTGTAAAAACCAAGTATGGTAGGATTTACTTGTTTAAGATCACTTTCAAAAGCCACTTACTACTATCAATTTTCAAATTTAGCATATCAATTTTCAAATTCGGCATCATTGGCTGGCAGTAATAAATTATTGTTATGCCAAAAAGGAGAAAAAATAAAGAAATTTTCCAAAGGGGTTGCAATAATAATTATTGGGTAGTTGAAAAATTTTAATCTTCTGCCTCACATCATTTCTGCTGTCACAGAAAAAGATTAAGAAGTCTGTACAATGTTGTTGAAACTATTCAATGCTTTGTCCTACAGTAAGAATACATGTTAGGCATGTGTTAGACATGTTTAAACAATCATATTTTTTTACTATTTTTTCAACAGATATGCATACTTTCAAACTGAAATATCATATTCTAAAAAAATATCAAAAACAAAAGCATGACATTTTATAGTATAAAGTATGCATTTTTGTTCAAAATGTATGACGAGTTGATCCGCCTAACGGTTAAGCCGACTCACACAAAAAATTGTTTCTTTTCTAAAAAAAGTTATATTTATATATATTCTGCTCTTTTTACTGCTTTATGGCCCCTCTAGCTAAAGCCCTGACTCATTTTCTGAACTTCTGAGGTGTAAATTTTCATACACATTATTTACAATCCATTCACAGACCTTCTTCGCAGTTTGGCATTTAGTCTGCATGCAAGATCTGTGTCAGTTTCAAGCCTTTCAGGTCAAAAATGAGCATCTTTTTCACTTAACAAAAGTGAAATTTCTAAAACATCATTTTGTCCATTGCAAATGGAGCTGGAAGAGTCATTGTTGACAATTCTCCTGGCATAGTGCTAATAATGGACTAGATTAAAATGGCTCAATTAAATTCTAGTGTTTCTTCTATTAGTGAAGTTTCTGAAAAAAAAAAATATATCAAACGGCGCAATGCACCTTGGGTCGCTACGGAAACAGTCTCCTTTTTATTAAATATGACTTAATTTTAAATATATTTTATATTTTTTTACTACCAAATTTAAATTAAATGAAACTCATTTCCTAGAAATTCTTTTGAACAAAATTCATGCTTTTATTTCTAATTACCTCTATAATGTAACTACATAAATCAAATGCGTCTTCACATTGATATTATCTTTATTTGGATAAAAAAATATTTTAAAGTGATCAGTCATTCACTGTACGTTTTAATAATTTTATAGCATTTATTGTGTGGCATGAATTTTTTTTTTTTAAGAAAAAGTTCAAATAATCTTTAATTAGAATTGGTGACAAGGATATAGCTGGGTTTTGGCGCGTGTCTGTACATAAAATGGGACATCATATGGTTCCCCACCTTATCAAATCTTGCCAAGAACTGCCTAACTATTACTCTAACAAAACTAATTAATGCCTTGTTGGATTTTTGTCTTCATTTTTCTAAAAATAAAAAATAAAAAAATAGTTTAAAATTCCATGCACAAATGAACATTTGTCTATGGATATTGCTTATACCCTTTATTTGCAATATTATGAAATTGTTTTCAAAAAGTGGACTATAGATTATTTTGTTAAACCAGGGCCTCAGTTGGAATCCTTGACAGTTGACAGCTCAACTAAAAATTAACAGCATGTAACATGGATACATGTTCTGTGTTCTTTCTATGGAAAAATATTGTAATTAGTGGGCACTAAAACTCAAATGCAAGTTTCCTACAGCTAATAATTTGTGCTTAATGTGCGCTGTCTGTACATATGCAGTGTCAGTAATAATAAATTAATGATAAATCCTTTTTTTCTACATTAGTGTGTGATAGTAATGTTTTTTCAAGTATGTATTCACCTTACCAAATAGTGAAATGCTGGAAAAATCTTGATTGTATTGTTGCCTCCTATTCTGGCTCGAATAATATCAAAATTTGTAGTATTTAATTGGATAAAAAACCAAATTACACTACAAAAAAATTGTTATATTTCAACGGAAAATCCTACGATAATATATTCCAACGGAAATTCAAACAGATATTCCAATGGTATAGATTCCGTTGGAATGATTCCAACAGAAATTCCAACGAAAATATTGCATTGGAATGACTTTTCCATTGGAATTTTAGATGAAATTTGATGATTCCAATGACTAGTTTTCCAACGGTTTTTTACCGTAGGAATTTTCATTGGAATATGCAATTTTCGTTGGAATTTTTATTTCCACCTTCGCTATGAAGCCAAAGTCAACCTTCTATATTCAACAAATAAACCTACCATATTAATAAAATTATATTAGTGTTATTTAAGTAATCAGAGAATATGGTAGGTTTATTTGTTGTATATAGAAGGTTGGTTCCACTATGGAGCCAACTGTTGTCTTCATAACAAAACCGCATGAAATATAGATAAATTGACAAGTAACAATGGCTGAACCTTTCATAAGTTCAACTTATATTTTCAAGTTATTGGACTTTTTATCAAGAGAAATAATGGAAAAATTGAATGAATATCTAGTTGTGTTCTCCGTATAGTGATAGTAGCAAACAAAGTGGGGGAATGCATTATCACGTGGATAAAAGTGAAGAGGAGAGCCATGAGGGTTTGCCTCAATTTCTTAAGGCAAAAAACAAAGTAAGCTATCTAAATCAGCCTATTAGCCAATAGTAATGTTCCAAGAAAAATTCGTACCCCATTTGTCTAATTAACATGATTGGCACATGACATACACCCCACATAACCCCCACCAAATCAACCACGAGCATGGCTAAATAAATTATTGGCTTCATTATTATTATTATTATTATTATTATTATTATTATTATTTTGTTCTTTAATTGGGATCATGTTCCAATGATGTAGTTATCATGTGTTTTAAGGAATTAATTAAGGAGTAAACTCGATTCTATCGGTATAGACAGTGTCTACATAAGAGTTTTTATTTTATTATCTTTCGAAATCATACACAGCGAGTTAAAAATCATGTGAGCGCAAAATTAAAGTTATGCGTACACTGCACAAATCGCTTTTTTTTGGTTAATTTTGACTCAGAATTCTTTTACTTTGAAATGTCATAAATTTTTAAGATTGAGTTAAATAATTATTTTATGATGATTTTCTTTAAAAAATATGTTAATTTATTTTATTAAATATGTCCAACTATTATAATAAACCGAGTCATGACGCAAGACATGTTGCATTTGGAACTTGTGTGTAACTTCATCAATGGAGTATTAAATTGACATTGAGATCCATGCCCATTGTGATCCTTGTGCAGCTAATTACAATATAGCCACAGATAATCATTAAAAATGAGAAGAAAAATAAAATAAAATAAAATAAAAAGATGAACTAGAATCCATGCTGCTTGAGGAACAAGAATGGTTAAAAGAATATGAATGAAATTCATTCTGAAAATTTCAATTAAGGACAATCCACAAATACAAGTTGTCAGGTCACTAGTAATTAATAGTACAATAATAAATATATCAGATCAAAAGTCATCTGTGTGTGCACATGCCAATCTGGTGAACTCCACTCTCCATATTATTGTTATACTTTTCTGCAATTTGATGACTGATGATCCCATCGGGATCTGAAAGACAACCAGTTAAAGGAATAAAGTAAAAGAGAAATAGATCAAATAGAGAAAGGAAGAAAATTGATATTCAATGACACTATTCATAGCAGTTTGTCTAAATCATGAAATGCAAGAGCAATTTGGTGTCAGATTTCTATCCATATGCCTCAAGAACTTTTTATTTTTTTTTATTTTATTTTTTTTAAATTGTTGTTACAAAAATACTTATTACCTGTTTCGAGATAGTATTTTTCTAGTGTAGACCAGTCACATATGAAGATTTTATAATCCTTCAATAGCATTTTACCTGGCCATTTCATAGTAATGATTATCGTGAGTTATTAAATGTAGATTAGAAAAAGTATTGTTAAATATAGTTAAAGATATCTGATTTTCTCCTCAAGCTTCCATAAATTTAATTACATCCTATTCATNAATAGTTTCATCATCATTTTTTTTTTTTTCACTATTATTATTAATATTATTATTTGGTTACGATTCTTATCATTTCTGTTGAAATTTTATTTTTTAAACGAAATGAGTCTATTGTGAGATTTGTTTTTAGGCTCAAATTCAATTTGTCAATATTGTTAAACGAGCTGACTCAAACTCATTTAGTTAACAAGTCAAACTCGAATATTAAAGTTAAAAGTTTCACTCGACTCATTTATATGACCTTTAGTTGAAGACCAGAATTAAAAAGATTATACGCTTGTATTGTATTCAATTATTGAGTTGCTTTATGTGATACCAAACAACTCAAAAAGGAAACATTTTAATTGTTTAAAAAGTTGAATTGATGCTCACGATTTTTATCATGAATAATCAATCCTTTTACAAAGTGAAACCTGCACTTGACATGTTCATGAACATTACTATTGTCATGTGACTTGTGAGAAGGTTTATGTGGTTCTTTTTAATCAGATTTTTTTTTAATATTATCAATACTTGTATTCGATCATGTGTACATGCACAAATACAAATAAAATTGTATACGTTATATGTGTGTTTATTTAATATTTAAAATAATAAACTATATAACGAGTAAATCACATTTTACTAATTTTATCATTAGTAAAAATAAACAATATAA